TACAGTGGTCTCATAGAGCAGTCGTTGGACTTTACAGTGGTCTCATAGAGTGATCATTGGACTTTACAGCGGTCTCATAGGGTAAAATTTTGACAATATGTCCACTATGTCCACCTTTTAGTGCAGAGAAATGATACCAGCCTTCCGCGCTTTCCTAAAGAGGCATGATAAGACCATTGTGACCCAAATGCAGAGGTGAGATCTGATGGTGGGCAGGGCAGGGTGCCCCAGAGACGGGGCATGTTTGACCTTCTCTTTGCCCTACTGTGTGCTTTGTACAGTCTGCCAGAGCTGCTTCTGCACCCCTCCCGGAGACTTGGAGAATACATGAATCTTCTCTATGCTCTGAGGCTTCACACGCCCGCCGAACATGTTGACCGGGAAGATTTGACCACTGCCATTGACCGAATCAAACAGCACAAAGGGTACTTGGAACAGGTCAGTTGATGAGAACCTGTGTCCCTCTCCCGGTGGCTGTCCAGGGCAGTCCTGCCTAAAGGTCCCCTCTCCTGGTCCTGCTCTGCAAGTACTCGTTCAACCTCTTCACGCTAAAGCTGACTTTGCACTCCGTGGTTTTGAGCACTAATGGCGTTTACTCTAAGCCAACCAATGTGAGGCAGAATACTTGAAAGAGAGCTATATAAAATCTCTATATATGTGAAAGCTTGAATTAGGGGTATTAGAATGGATCTTTCTGGATAACCAAGGTGGGGGAGGGAAAGTCAAATCCCTTGATTCTGAAAATAATTTTTAATGTGTTATTAGTTTTCCTGCCTTACTAAGTACACTGATTATAGTCGCTCTCCTACAAAGAATTCAGTACATGTACATTCAACCTGAAAATATAGCCCTTGTAATGTACTCATGTCTGGGAGCTTGGACTGATTGTACACCGAAACCACATTATGCCCAGAACATGCTTGTTTGGTACAGTCTGGCCACTCACCTCCTTCGTTCAAAATGCTGGATATCGAAAATTGAGATTTTTATAGTTTAGGACCAAGCCGTGCGTAAAGAACCATGAAATGTGTTCATCTCTTTCTTCCCCATGTGAAATGTTCCCAATTTAATTGTCTCCCTTCATTTTCTAGGTGAAGCAAAGGATCAGTAGGAGAGACCAGCTGTCAGACTTACAGAGACTCATCTGGGGGTGCCCTGTACGTATGCCAATGTACTCTCTCACGAGTCAGTGGTGAAAGGGGACATTCAGATACAGATTCAGCTGACATTTGTTCATTGCCTGCTGCGAGGCAGGTGCTGCCAGGTACCTGTTATCTGCAGGGTGCTCTGTGGGAAGGTGGGCTCTATCGCATCCTATCACTTTTCTGCTGATTTAGCCCTTTGCTCGGAGTCTCTGGGTGGTCTACACAGTTCATGCACTAGGTTGCTAACTGAAAGGTTGGCAGTTTGAGTCCACTCAGAGGCACCTAGGAAGAAAGTCCTGGTGATCTGGTGCTGATAAAACTGCCATAGAAAACCCGACGGAGCACAGTTCTATTCTGATACACATGCGGTCACCATGAGCTATGGCTACTGCCAACTCCTTACGTGGGTTGACTAGGCTCAGGCTCCCCTTTGAGAGCTTTGTCATCTACTTGTTTGCTGTCTCCTTGTACATAGTACCTGGTGCAGGATTTCGCACACCGAAGACATCTTTAGAAATAATAATAATAATAATGTGGCTGTCTGTTACCAACAGAACACCATCTGGCCCCGCCCTGCCTATGAAGCCTGCTCTCTGACCCCCGCCCAGACCTGCTCACCGTGCTCCAATGTGAGCCTCTCCGCACACCTCAGTGCTTTGTTCCAGCTCCGTCTTTTCTCAGATCACCTTCCCTTCCTACTCCGGGCAGTAAGCTGCTTTCCCTCCTTGAAAAACCCACTTCAGTGATCATCTTTTTCATTCTTCCAAAATCTCCAGCTGTGAGTTGCTCCTTTCTAGGAACTCTTTCAGCATCCTGGGCATTCCACTCGCGCGTTTTATTGCAATCCTTTGTTCACAAGACTAGGCGCTCCACCAGGTGCGGGCTACACTTTCCTCGTCTATGCTTACAGCTAACACAGTGTCTGGCACACAGGGAAAGCTCAGTATGTGAATTATGTGGAATGAAAATGTCACTTGATATTTCTACTTGGTCAACTTTAGAAGCAAAATGGAGTTTTGTCAGGATTTGGTAAGGAAAGAGCATTCGCATTTTGGTCCATGTGCGTCACCAGCAGCAGATTCAGCTGCCTCCGTTCTCTTGTGGTCCTTGGTCACCGTCCCCCTTTTACATCATACGGACACGTGGACATACCATGGCTTGGGTCAGGGGAACCTGAGTCCCTAAAGTGACTTTTTTTGCTTTTTAACACTTGAAAGAAATCTTTTTGCAGCAGAATTGCCCTTAGGAATTAACTTATTAAAAAAATAAGAATTTTCGTAGTTTTAAAAATCAGGCAACATGTTCATGGTGGTTCTTTAATCTTTCTGAAGAAAGAAACACTGCAAAGATCACTTTTCCAGAATATAGCTGAGCCCTAGTCAACCATTCCATATAATGGGATATTAAATGGTTCTGTATTACTGGGGCCTTTAATTTTTAAAAAATGATATGTTTCTCATTTTGTTTTTGATTTCATAGACTCTATCTGAAGTAAACAGATATCTGATTAGGGTTCAAGATGTAGCTCAACTTCACTGCTTGGATGAGGAAGTCATTTTCTCTTTAAGGTAAAAATCAACAACTCTCCCAGGTTGTGAACTCCTTAAGGGCAGGTGACTATGTTTAATTAATCTTGTATGGTTGGACCCGGTATAATGTCATGTCTGTATTGGACTGAAAATTGCACACACCCACACCCACACATACCCATACTTGGAAGCCAGAGGAAAACTCTTCATTGCCTTATTCTCATTCCAAGTGACTCCTGGCTCAAACGGGAGAAAAGAAATCGTTTCCACAGAAGCCGAGATTCTGAAGGCGGGTCAATTCTTAATGAGGGAAAAGCCTCCCATCCCTCGCCTTCCCATCTTTGGGGTACATGTTGACGATTTGGTTTCATATAGTTGATTGTTGGGGGGGGGGGCACAGTCCTCATGGGTAGATAGTGCTTTTTGGTTGTTAAAGTCCATCTTTTGTTTGGATGAAAGGCAATCTTCAGAAATAGCTTCAGTTCCGAGTCGTGGGGCAATAGTCTCAGAGGTCCCTCTGTCTCTCTATTAGGTCTCACCTTTGACAGGAATGGGAATTGTCTCCTACATTTCCCTCCCATTCTGTCTGTCAGCTTCTTGTCTGTCCCTGGTCAGAATAGAATCATCCACAGTGGTTGCGGGGACTCATTGAGTTCTGTTCTCAGGTTAGAAGAGGCTGTGGTTCGTGTGGGCCGTTAGTCCTGGGGACTTGCTACTTCAGCTTATGAGTTCTTTCATGCGTTTTTGCTCCAGATGAGAAGAGACTGATAGTTGTACTTCTTGCCGGCTTCTATGATCACAGATACTACTCACTAACCTGGATATCAAACATTATCTTTATGCACTGTATTATACCCGAGACTCTGGTCTTTTGACCCAGGCAACCCATCCTGCATGTGGTTTGGAGGGGCCAGCCAGCCTCCGTAACTGTGCCCCCTCTGCGCGCTGTTGTAGTTGGGTGCCGTGAGGCTGGTCCCGGCGTAGGGCAGCCCTATGGATAGTGGAAGGGAACACGGGCTGGTCCCGCTCCATCCTCACAATCATCGCCCCTGTTGCAGCCACCACGGCAGTGCACTTAACCGATGACCTTCCTTTTTGTTTCTTTGCCGACCCTCCACCTTACCAAGCATACATGTCTTTCTCCAAGCGCTGACTCTTACTGACAGCATGTTCGAAAGTACACGGGACAGTCTTGCCGTTTTTACCTCTAAGGAATACATCCTGGCTGTACTTCTTCCAAGACAGCTGTGTTTGTTCTTCTGACAGCCCATTGTGTATTCAATAGATTTTGCAAACATCATGATTCAAAGACAGTAATTCATCTTTGATTTTCTTTGCTCATTGTCCAGCTGTCACATGTATAGGAGACAAATGAAAGTCCTGCAGCTTGGGTCAGGTGCACCTTCAGCCTCAAAGGAACATCTTGGTTTTCGAACATTTTAAATAGATGCTTTGCAGTACATTTCCCCAGTGCAATATGCTTGTTTCAGCTGCTTCTATGGGTATTGATTGTGAACCCAAGTAAACTGAAACCCTTTACCTCTCCATCATCTCTCCATCAGTCAGGATGTTGCCATTGGTCCCCGTCTGGGGGCTTTCATGTGGAGGCGTGTCATCCGTGAGGCTGCAGTCTTGGTCTTCCTCAGTAAAGTGCTTCAAGTCTTATTCCCTGTCAGCAAGCAAAGTCCTACTGTTTGGTTAGTGCAGGTTGTTAACAAATCTTCCTCATTATTCTTCCGATAGTGCCATTTCTCAGATTATTTGCTCAGGGTATTGATTGCATAGGTGTAGTGAAAGGATACAGTTGTGACAATTGGCTCATGGCTTTGTTCTGACAGGTGATGTTCAGGTTTTCCTTCGTTTCTTTCCATAAGTGAGTTTTGATTCCTGTGTATTTCCTCTGGTGCAGTCCACGTGCATAGTCAGTTATATTTTGTAATGCAGTAGTTAAACAGAAAGTGCTTCTAGAAGGCAGGTAAACATTTAAACTAGATCTGTTACGCATTGCTGAGCCAATGTGCACACATATATATATTAATCATTTTATTGGGGGGCTCTTACAAATCTTATAAAAAAGCCATCATTCAATTATATTAAGCACACTTGTAAATATGTTGCCATCAACATTTCTAGAACATTTTCTTTCTATGGGAGTCCTTGGCACATTGTGCATGTTTTGTAAATAAGCAGAAGCCCTATCCAAGTCCCACTTTGTATGGCTTGTATGGAAGAGACAACTATAAGTGCCTTAGATCGCCACCATAGGTGAAGTCATTGGCTTTTGCATAGTTAGAAGAACTGTTCTTTTAAGTTTCTGACGCTTTTTGTCTTTGGAGAAAGTTGGGTGGCTTACTGAACTTTCTTGATAAAAATTTATATAGGTATACATACATATTTACCTACATGAGAGGGCTTAAAAAAACTCGTGTAAAAATGGAAAGACAGGCTAATGAGATTTTCCCACTAACTCTGTGAAGCCCGCTCCTGTGTATTTATCTCAGTCAGATTAGACTAATAAAAGCCTCTCTGTGTGTTTATCCTGCCCTCATTCATGTCCACAGCACTACATGCATGTCTTCCCTTCCCGGGGCCAACCCCCACCCCCACGCCCACCCCGTCCCAGTGGGTCACACAACCTGAATGCTCTTTCAGCAATGCTGTCCCTTCCACAGGGAAAAAGCAACCAAATAATTATTTATCAAAGCAAATTCTTTAAGGACCACTCTCAAAAGTACCCTCTAGGCACATACTTAGGCATTTCAGATAAAACATGAAGGTTTTATTACAGCCTTAAACATTTTTTTTTTCTCAATTTTTTTTTTGTGTTTTTTTTTAAATTTTATTTTTTAACATTTTATTAGGGGCTCATACAACTGTTATCCCAATCCATACACACATCAATTGTGTAAAGCGCATTTGTACATCGTTTCTCAAAACATTTTCTCTCCACTTAAACCCCCGACATTAGGTCCTCATTTTTCCCCTCCCTCCCCGCTCCCCACTCCCGCATGAGCCCTTGATAGTTTATAAATGGGTATCTTGTCATATCTTGCCCTGTCCGACGTCTCCCTTCATCCACTTTTTGGCTGTCTGTCCCCCAGGGAGGAGGTCACACACAGTTCCATGTAATCGGTTCCCTCTTTCCTACCCATTCTCCCTTTACCCTCCCTGTTTCGCCACTCACACCACTGGTCCTATAGGGCTCATCCGTCCTGGATTCCCTGTATTTTCAGTTCCTATCTGTACCAGTGTACCTCCTCCGGTCTAGCCAGTCCTGCAAGATAGAATTCAGTCATGGTAGTGGGAGCGGGGAGGAAACCCTTAGGAACTAGAGGAAGGCTGTATTTCTCATCATTATTACATCGCACCCTGACTGGCTCATCTCCTCCCCGAGACCCCTCTGCAAGGGGATCTCTTAAACATTTTTTTAAAAGAAAACTGGAGTATCAACTAATTGTTATCAGTAATTAGGTAAAAGCATTGTCTCCTTCACTCTCCCCAAAGGCAGGAAGATGGCTGTGTTTTGTTTGTTTGTTTGTTTGTTTGTTTCAAGCAGGGCATTTGCCACCTACAGCACGCCACTCATCAGCCTACGCTGCCCACCTTTCTCGTTCTTTTGCATCCTGGTGGTGTGGCTGTTACCAGTTGGGCTGCTAACCACAAGGTCAGTAGTTCAAAATGACCAGCTGCTCCCTCCATAGGAGCAAGATGAGAACCTGTACTCCCGTGAAGAGTTAGCGTTTTGGAAACCCAGTTCTACCCTGTGCTGTCGGGTCACTGGGAGGGAAATCGCCTTGAAACCGGTGATTTTGGTTTTTCCTTGTGGTTCTTTCATCCTTAGTTGTGTCCACGCCATTATTTTGAAAATTACCTATTAGCTTGATCCAGACAGTTTCCTTCAGGACATTAAACTATCAGTCCATGTGAAGCACCCCTTTCCTTTCAGCCCAAATCACAGTGGCACAGAGGCTGAAACAAAGGAAGGGAATGTTTGATGGGTGGCTGCCGTGGTTGAACACTGCTTTTCCACGTGTCCACACGGCTGCCACAGGAATAGCCAAAAACTCACCGATAGTCGAACCTAGAGGTGAATTCGCTGATCCCGTCCTTTCCTAGTTGCTAGGCATAGCTTTAACTAATCAATGACTTGCTCGTGAAAGTGGGGGCTACAGATCAACAGGACGGGCACCACCTGGGTGCTTAAGACAGGCAGACTGTCAGACAATCCCAGCTCTACTCAATCAGAACATGTTTAAACAAAATCTGGGCTAGCCAGGTGTACTTCCACATCTGTCGTCTGTAGCACTCAACGACATTCTCATGTGAGGCACATTATTTAAATGGGCATTACAGCAAGGGTTATGGAAAGCCAACTGGAATCCCTTGATAAAAATTATATTTGTCCTTTTGTGTACCCCAATCGAAATACGGGTGCCATGGGAATTTATATGAAAAGAATCAGTTTACAGCAGCACTATTCATTAACCACAACTCCCTGCTATAGAGTCAATGCCGGCTCATCGTGACCCTATAGAACAGGGTAGAACTAACTGCCCCTGTGGGTTTCTGAGACTGTATCCATCTATGGGAGTAGAAAGCCCCTTCTAGTTCTCCAAGGATTGGCTGGTGGTTTTGAACTGCTGCCCTTGCAGTGAGTACCCTAATGCATAACCACTACACCACCAGGGTTCCTCAGCACAGTTCATAGTAGCAATAAAAGAACAAGTGAAACGTCAAATGGTGGGATTAGGAAATGCTTGGCCAACAGACAAGTTCAAACCACTCCATCAAGTACATTGATGGTCCTCAAGATAAGTCTGAGAGACAGAGGAGGAACAATTCACATTGGAAGAAAAGCTAGGGAGCCATTCAACAGGTCTCTGGTGGGGGAAAGCGAGTATTAAGATACTTAATCATGTAGCAAAGCACCTATGTATGCTATTACCAGTCCCCCACTCCATTTCCACACAGGCTATATGAACATGTCCGTGACCTCGGCCTTTTCCTCTTCAATGACGCGCTGATGGTTTCCCGGCGGGGAACATCTCATATTCCATTTGACAGGACCTCAAAAAATACCTACCAGTTCATCGCAGCAGTAGCCCTGCATAAGTTACTTGTGGAAGATATCCCAGATTCCAAATGTATGTATTATTTTCCTTCTAAGAGAAATACCTTTAGAGGTCTTTATTACCTGAAACTCATTAAAGTAGAAAAAGACTGTACTTTGCAAAAACTTTCCAGAATATTCCCAAACACCCATTGCCATTGAGCTGATTCCAACTCATAGTGACCTATATAGGATTTCCAAACTAAATCTTTATGGGAGCCGATGGTCTCATCTTTCTCCCACGGGGTGGCAGGTGGGTTTGAACCTCAGTCTTTTGCTGTTAGTAGCCTAACATCTAGCACCCAGGCCTGACACCAGAGCCACCAGGCATCTCTTCAAAATACTATGATTAAACAATGTGAACTTTCAACTACTTCTGACAAAGGATTACTAGTATCATCAGACACACGCCCTACACACATGGGAAGTAACTTTGAACATGACAAAGGTAGAGACAACTCTGCATCATGGGTTCTTTGAAGTATAGTCAGTCCCTGAGTTATGAACCATTCGACTTAAAGACAACTCATATTTGCCCTGCAATGCTATGTAAATGTCCCGTCACTTTGAAATCATTGGCCCAGCTCCTACTTTCAACCCCGTCTTCCTCACCATCAGGCTCCTTCGCACACATGCAGCTTTTAAGTCAGTGGGAGGGCTCTGCCGGGGCCGATTCTTCACTGAACTCACCGGGGTCCTAGCGAGCCGAGGCACAGTAGAACTGCCCCAGTGGATGAACTGTAGCCCTTTCTGAGAATGGAAAGCCCTGCCTTTCTTCTTGGGAGTGGCTTGTGGATTTCAACAGTGGATCTTGCAGTAATAACCACTAGGCCACCAGGGCTGCTTCTTGCAAAGCTGGCCAAATAAGAACCCTAAAACCCGCTCTTCTTGACAAATTCGACTTCAATTCACACCTGGAACAGATCTCATTCTTCACCTGGCAACCAGCCTCGTGTGGTCCGAAAGGAGTGGAGTGCTAATATTATATGGCCTCTGGGCATTTGTCTTGAAGCACTCCTTCAGACTTTTATTTATCTTTTTTTTCTCATTCTACAAGTGGTTACTAAGCAGTTGACTATCCTTTTTCCTCTTTAAACTCGGATTTCAATGAGGAGTTTCTCTACAGAGCAATGCATAGGTTTGCAGCAACTCCTTCCGTGAAGTGGGGAGCCAAGTCCTCTTTGCTGTCTGTTCTTGGTCAGGAAGCGCTGCTGAAACCTGCTCACTGTGGGTGACCCTGCTGGCATGTGAATCACATGACATAGCTTCTATCATCACAGCAACACGCAAGCCACCACTTAATGACAAGCTGACAGAGAAGCGGTCTGTCAAAAGGGAAGAACACGCTCAGCACATGTGAAACTGAAACAATGCAAGAAAAAACTCGAGCCTTGAATTACAATTTTGATATTCTGTAGGCAAAATATTAGATGCAGGAAGCATTAGCCAACGGTGGAAAGAATACAGTCACTGTACCAAAACAATTGAAAACTAGTTGACATTCCACCATTCCAGGAAGCGGCATGTGGACGAGAACCAATGGTGCTGAAGGCAGAAGTTGAAAGGGCACTGACTTCATTAGCCAAAAACAAGGCTTCAGGAAATGACGGAATACCCACTGAAATGTTTCCCACAGCTGAAGATGCACGGGAAGCACTCAACTGTCTGTGCCAGGAAATTTGAAAAACAAAAACCCAGCTGTTTGGCCAACTGACTGGAAGAGATACATTATTTGGGCCCATTCCAAAGAAAGGTGACCCAACAGAATGCTCAAACTATAGCACAGTGTCGTTGAGAGTGCACACAAGTACTATTTTGCTTAAGATCACCCAGCAGCGGGTGCAGCAGCACACTGACAGGGAACTGCCAGTTCAGCCGGGTTCAGAAGAGAATGTGGCACAAGGAATTTCACTGCTGCTGTCAGGCGTATCTTAGCTCAGAGCATTCATTGATTATGCAAAGGCATTCAACTGTGTGGCCCATAATAAACCATGGGTGGCCGTGAGAAAAACGGGAATTCCAGAATACTTATTTGAGCTCTTTCAAAACTGGTACATGCATCAAGAGGAAGTTGTGTGAAGAGAACAAAGGAATACCTCCTGGTTTAAAATCAGAAAAGGTGTGTGTCAGGGTTGTATCTGTGTGCTGAGCAAATCATCAGAGAATCTGGATTATAAGAATGTGGCGTCAGCATTGGAGGAAGGCTTATTAACAGCCTGCTATAGGAAGATGACACAACCTTGTTTGCTGGAAAGTGAGATCTTGAAGCCCTTGCTCGATGAAGATCAAGGGTTGTAGCCTGATGTATGAATTACAACTCAATATAAGGAAGACCAAAATCCTCACAGCTGGATCAATAGCTAATATCACGACAAATGGAGAAAAGGTTGAGGTTGTCAAGGATGTTGTCTTACTTGCATCTACAATCAAGAAGCAGTCAAGAGATCAAAAGATGTGTTGCATTAGGTAAATACGCTGCAAGAGTATTGAAGAGCAAGGATGCTTCTTTGAGGACTAAGGTGTGCCTGACCCAAGCCATGGTCTTCTCCATGTGAAAGTTGGACACTGAATAAGGAAAGTGGACACTGAATAAGGAAGACTGTAGAAGAATTGATGCATTTGAATTGTGGTGCGGGAGAATAATGGTGAACCGTACCCAGGACTGCTAAAAGGACAACCTGCTTTGTACTGAATAGAAGAAGGAAGGCCAGAGTGCTCTTTAGAGGGAAGGATGGGAGGACTTCATCTGACAGACTTTGACCAAGCTGTCAGACCAGTCCCTTGAGGACGCCACGTTTGGTGGAGGGTGGAGAATAAGGCCCTCTCTGAGATGGAGTGACACAGTGGCTGCAGCAGTGGGCTCAGGCATAGGAACCATTGTGCGGATGGAGCAGCACTATGTAGTGTTTGCTCCGTTGGGTACATATAGAATAGCTATGGGTGAGAGCCAACCCGAAGGTACCTGACAACTACAGAGAAATCAACAGATCTGCAAAAGGATGGTTAGTAACTCAAACATTTCATTGATCATTTAAGTATAATTTACCTGTTACAACCAGAAATCCTTTCTAAATGCAATTGTGCCTTTCTTTGGTTATTCTTGTACGCTATTTCTCATGCTTACAATCTGACCAACAATCTGAGTGTGATCCCTCACGCCTGTGGTTTGTCTCCATAGAAAGTCACGACTGAAGGCAAATATGGGAATTTGGATCTTAGAACAGGAAATAATTTTTTTTAAAGGGCTGCTTCCTACTAGCTTTAGTCCCATTTAAAATCTAAGCCCAGGGGGAAAAAACCGGAAATGCAAGGACTTAGTATTAACCACCTGGAAGGCAAATGCCGGTGGAAAGGGTGCTGCCTTCAACTTCCTCTTGTCATATGCCCCTAGACTCGACGTAGACCTGTCAAACCACTGTTGTTACATATTGCTATCTAGCTTCATAGACAATAGGCACTGGTCAAAGCGCTGGCTTACCTCTGTCCTCGGCCATTTTACGGATCAGCCCAGCTCTTAACATCGTGTCTAATAAATACTGCTCGTATTTACTAATTCCAGTTCTGCAGACGAAAATGACGTTATACCATCTACCATTTAGTTGTACACATGACTGCTCAGTACAATTTGTAATATCAAGACAGGATTATTTTAAATCATTGTATATTTGAATGATTCATCATTTTTTGAAGTTACCGTATATACTTGAGTATAAGCTGACGCTAATATCAGCGGAGGCACCTAATTTTACCACAAAAAACGGCATTAAAAATGTGCTGAAAAACTCGGCTTATACACGAGCATATACAGTATTTTCCAAACTGGTTTTGTAAGTTTTGAGTTCCTATTGTTAAAAAAAAATTCTTAGATGACTTGGTAGATTCTTAATATTTTCAAGAACTTTACGTTTCCTCTTAAAAAAAAAGTTTCCTTTTTTGATTGTTCCATAGACAGGTTAATGGATCTTAAATGTTTTACAGATGTCAAGAATGCATTTATCCTTCAAGGTCCAAAGGAGGAATGGCTCTGTGCTACAGAGGTGGAGGATGAGAAATTCCAGTGGTTGTCAGCACTGCAGAGTGCAATCAGAAGTAGTATGGAGAAGTGAGACTGGTCTTGGGGGTGCCGATTCCCCATGCAAAGATAGACGTGATTTTCTCTGTACTGGAAGATCCACTCAAAGGCAGAGCACGGATCTGTCATGGACCACAGGAGGGGGAACTAGGATGGGCAACAAGGCGCCTTCCCATTTTCAATTTTACTTGTCCGGTGACTGATTATGTGAAGGAACAATATAAACAACCTGCGCATCGTTTCCTTGGAGGTTATTTTATGGGTAATATTTAGAGTGATTGGACAAAGCCTAAGATAGAGCAAGCATGTTACATGTTTACAGTTTTGTTCTATGATCTCATGAAAAACAAAATCGGAAGAAAAAGTGTTTCTTAAATGACAAGTCTAGAGAAAAGTCTTGTTTTGGGTGATCAACATTGTCATTAAATAATTATTGATGTAAAACAGTATTCTCAAGAAATATGTCAATTTACTCAAAATCTCAATGATACATATCCTTGGTTATGAATGTACTTTTAGAGAACATTAAAAATATACCACTAATATACTTCATACCACATGAAGTATGAAAAAGCTTTCTGTAATTTTAGAGCATTTGTTGGAAAATTGAGTTCTTAAACCTTCTATGTTCTTAAAAGAGGGGGAAAATGTCTTTATTACTCAGGATAGCTTGAATCAGTTAGTTTCCACTTTGCCTCATATTCTTGTTTAAGGTAACAGAAGGTACTGGTACAATCTAGGATTGTGAACCTAGGTTATCTAAACATTTGTTTTCAACTAAGAAAATACAAATTCATTTTAATTTTTAAATATCCATATCCTTGTTCAAAGATGTTAAAAATTTTAAATATTATGCTATTTTATTGGGGTAAAAAAAGAAATCACCCAATTGCTAGTGATTCTGTTAAAATCTCCCCTTGCAGTTTAATACCTGTGCTCCCATAGACAGCATAAGCCGCTAAAGGGACTGTGTCCTATTAAACCAAACTCAAAACACAACCCGCCACGGAGTCAGTTTCCACTCCTAGCGATGCTTGGATTCAGATGTCTGTAGCTTGTCACACACGGGTCCTAAGCCAGCACATCATCCCGAACGGACATGCTTCATTCCTTCTCCAGGAAAAGCCTGGGTGACAAGACAGCTGACGGGCCACTAGAAATCGGGACATTTTCCCATTTATTCCCTGGGTCAAGAATGCCCTACATGTTAAACTATTTTTCTTGAGCCTAATCTCTAGGAAGACTGAGGGGCATGAGCCTGTCATTCAGAGATGTGGATCAGCCAGTGGTGTCGGCTCACACTCCCTTCGCCTGTCTTCTGATTTCATGACTGCTGCTGAATCCCAACCTCACGGCAACACTTGTGAGACCGTAGTGAAACTGCTAAGTGCTCAGAAGGGAAAGCTGGAATCTAATCCACTGAAAAAATCCCAAAGTGACCCCAGCAGAATTGAGCAGTCTTTCTTAGTAGTTAGCTAGAGGCAGAAGAATGCCTTCTCCAGAATGATTCTTTCAATTCAGAAGTTCATCAGGAACCCCGTTTTGAAGGTTTTCTTAGAAAAGCAATATAGACACCTCATGTAAAACTTTGAGCCTGACAAGGCACATGAACAGTTCCTTTAGTAGTTTTCCTCTGACCGAGATTTGTGTGCAGGGTGACCCCTGCACTAGATCAGCAAGGTGGTGCTGATGGGTGGGGTGGAGAACAAACGCAAGGTACCCTCCTGAAAAAGTCATCCTGACCTTTTTATTGTTGAAATTAAAAAATAAAAGATACTTAAATACAATGGTGAACATAGAAGGGCAAAACAGCATCACAAATTTAAGTTTGAGTTAAGCAGTGAGCTGAACGTCTGGGTCTCCAAATTGGCTTTGAACTCAAAACCGCTTAAAAATGGGGATGTTCACAGTTCATGGCGATTGGCTTATAGGTGAGAGAATGGTCGGAGCTGTTCCAGTTGAACTTCCAGGGAAATTCTCTCCTCAAGAACATCCTGCAACAGACACAAAGGGCAAGTCAGGGGACACAGTATACAAAACCCAGGGCCATTACCGAAAGCTCTGCTGCAACAAATTTAAGCAAGATTTGGCAGGGGACAGCTGTCCATGTTTTCAAACCGATGACTGGTTTGAGAAAGGAAGTATACAAGAGCAGAGGAACAGGATGGAGATAAAAGTTAAGCGAAACTGCCCATTGCCCTGCAGTCGATTCCGACGGACTCCTCGCAACCCACCCTGTGTCTTCCCGCATGCTCGGGACACCAGTGCCCCCAGCCTTCCTGGATGCGAGGCCTCTCGGTGGCTCAAACCCCAGCCTTTGGCTTGGGAGGGAGTGCTTGACATGTGCACCTTCCAGTGTCGCCGGTGATCAGGCAGTGCTACCAGGGCTTAGTATGAAGAGTTGCTTTTATACTACAAGATTAAAAGCCTCTTTAAAAATTTAGATGCACATCTCTCTCACTGTGGAACCTTTCACATAGGCGTAAGGCTTGTTTGATCACCTGTAAGCTCCCCTTCAGCTTCCCAAAGATGTAGAACTTGCCTTACCTTTAATTGCTGCTGCAATTCACTATTCAATCTGGCCAAAACTGTGTTGGTTTCCTTATTTCGCCTGATTGAGGCCTGAATGGCCTTTTTATCTTTTCCCACAGATCTGAGAAGATAAAGGGGGCAGAAAACAAAATAAAAAGCTTCGTTATTTATCCTTACATCCTCTCCACTCTTTTCAGATCTACTCCTAAATATGGAAAACACAGGAAGCCCTCTTTCTCCTTCATTTGCATAACTCATCCAATATATCCAAGCTGCAGAAACTTACATTTACTACTGTTTTAACCAGTCTTTTATAGAACCAGAGTTTACACTAGAGACAGCCCAGAGCATGCAGTGGCGCACTTCCCAGGCAGTAAATATTTTAGGCTCCGTGGGCCTTATCTTCTCTATTTTTTGTTTTCCTTGTTCTTCGCTTTCTTACTTCTTTTAGAAACTGTGAAAACTATTCTTAATTCATGGGCAAAAGCCAGGCCATGGGCCGATCTGGCCTATGAGCTCTAGTCGGCTGATTCCTGGCCTAGAACCACCACAGGGAGGGTGTTTTAAAAGGGGCTTCGGGGCTTGCGACCAGAAGTGGAAGAGGAATGGGAACAGAAAATAACACTGGAAAACCATCCCTTCCATACACAAGAGTGTCTCAAGGAAGAACGGATAGCCGAAGCTCTTTCTCAACTGAAACGCCAGTCTGAGCCTCACTTCTTAGTTTCACAACCTCCCTCATGGTGCCTTTGCTCTGAAGTGCTGAAGCATGTCCAGGGGTATGCTGGTTACCTCGGGATAGCAGGCTGGGAGGCAAGAGCAGCAGCTAGGACACCTGTCTTCGGAGTATGTTCATCGACGTCTGGCCTTAACTCATCTTCGGATTTTAATCTTCTTCGGACAGGTTTAGGTGGTGGAGCAAGAGGTGTTGTGCCTTTGCTCTAAACGACAAGAAACGCCATTCATCATGAGCCCTTCTTGAAGACTGCCACGAAACCAACACTTAACAGCACCAGCTAGCTCCTTGCTCTCTGAGGATGTCCTACCCAGGAACAGTGCACATATAGGCACTAGCCAACTCCAGAGAAAGAGTCGTCCTTGCTGACGTCACACTCACAATCAGGAGTGAACCGACCAGCTACTTGTGGAAGAGTAGCAGGTGCGCCGAGTGCGCACCTGCCTTGAGAGCGCAACGAGCCCAGTTTGACTCTACACGCAGTGCAGGCTCCATGTAGACATCCGGACCACTACGTACACAGAAGGAGCCGCACAATGATGCATCCGTATCATCAAAGTCTCCTAGCATATATCATGTGAATGAATGAAATCCACTTATTAGGAGTGGAAATCTAGGCAACTCTTTCTTTAAGAAACCAAAAACCAAACAAAAAACCAATCACCAGAAAGATACAATTTCCAATTCTTAGAAACAACTGTTTTGTTAGACAACTAGCCTTTCCCTCAAAAGCATCATGTCATCTCTTTAGTTAAGTGCTATTGTAAATTTCATTACTGTGTATTAATACTAAGGCAGTAAACAAAATTTTAAATATCCAGAAAGTAGAATTTAAATACTTTTCAGTAACACATGCTATTTTGATACTTACCCGAAAACAAAACAAGAACTATCGAGCGTTTGTTCCCTTAGAGGTACAGTCGTTGCACATTTACCTTGGGATGTGTTAATAAAGAGGACTGACACATGATGTAGAGATGGAGAAATAATGCTTTAAAGTAAGTGCAGTAAAGTATTAAAGGTATAGTCAAGTGGCTCTATCGATGTACAATGTAAAAAGTTTTCTATTTTTTCTGTATGTTTAGAAGTTTTAGTAAAAATTATAGGAAAGAAATGACTCCCGAGAACAGTGAACAGAGAGCAAGAACAGACCAGCAAACTACAAGGCTGAGTATGTTCCCTGTTACACTCAAGAAGGAATGAAACTTCTGACACACACAGGGTCACCAGCAGTCAAGACAGACTCAGTGGCAAAAAAACCCCCAAAACAACACAGTCTGTCTCTTACAGAGATTCTACACCATTTATTCATTATTATATTATTAAAATTCTCTGAAGCCTTAAAAAATTGAATGAAAAGTGGAATTTGACCCACAAGAAAGCCCTATTTTACATACTAGAAAGAATACAATAAGCACAACCATTTTGAGAAAATGTAGCTAAACAATGATGGAACAACTCCCGGAATTTTTAAATTGATAGGTCTGGTTTTTGACTAGGCAATATACGTTAAAGGAAAGGGCATGACTTAGATCATCTCTAGTTAACTCTAAGATTTTTGTCTTATGATTTCAAGTTATTTCACCAGGTCCACATCGCTAACACTTTACATGTACAAAGTGATGGGGGTCGGGGGCTTTGTGCGTACCGCACTGGCGGGGGCACTAGCAGCCGTCTTTTCTTCAGTCTTACTCTCTGTTTTGGCACCTCGAAGAGCACCTGCAGGATCAGTAGACTTTTCAACCTAGAGACGAAAAGATGTCTGTTATTATCTACGAGTAATACGTCATGCATAAGTATTTAATAAGTAACAAATTAGAGAGTCGAACACTAAGGCGATATTCGTTCTGGCACGAAGAAAGCAAGCGTGCAGGCAGAGCAGGGGACTGGCCGCGTTCCGCTCCTGAAGCGGGAGGTGCTGGACCTCGGAGGGGAAGAGGTCAGGCGGAGGACAAACCTCCAAGTGTCGAGGAGGGGAGGGATGCATGACACCAGGAGAGTGGGCACTAGTGCTCTAGGCACAGCTGTGTACCATCCCCCCACAAGCCGGGCCACCCCCACCTTCCAGAAGGGTGCAGCCCATTCCCCAACTGGCACAAGAAAAGCCAGGCAGAAAACTATCGGTTTGAAGGAGTGGCTTGTGGAAAACTGTTGACAAGAAAGCGCTATCTAAATGATAGCAGCCAAACGACGGTCGAGTTTATATCCAACCCCACTTTGTGCCTAGTGGTGGGGCTTTTCATGTGAACATGATCACAAAGATTACATGGTGGCAGTCTGCTGAGCTAAGATGACGGGCTCTCATACATTCAGAAGCTGCTGCCACAAGAAAGCCCTCATCAAACCACAGGCCCGCGCGACTCCGCGTGCAGATGAGAGGCCCCAAGCAGCAGCAGCTCAGCTAGGTGGTTGTGCTCTCTCTCTCTCACACACACACACACACACACACACACACTGCCCCTTTGGGTTCTTTTGTCTGCAGGCAGGCTTCTAGAGAGAGAGCGGCAGGGAAGAGAGCTTCCCCACCAAGCAGCAGATAGACCTACAGGACTGACCGGCAAGGCCTCTGGATGCTTCTCAGCTTCATCGTCTTGTTCTTCATTTACACTTGACGCAGCAAATACTTCAAACTGGCTGAAATCTGCAAAATTTGGTTGCTCAGGTATCTGCTGAGGTGAAGTGCTAGTGTGAGCTGTGAGCCCCTCAGTATCCACTGGGCGATGCACGACGGGCCCCGGCGCCTGGGAAACAGAGTAGAAGGGGGACAGCACGTCACTGACAGACCCTGGCCACAGAGCAGTCTTTTTCTTTCCTTCCTTTTTTGGGAAATAAAATTTTAAAGTGGCTGGCTTTATTGATGGCAAATTCAGGGAGGTGTGCTGCAGTAACTTTTACCTTAAAGATGCACATGAGAAGCCAAGGCATCAATTGACTTGTTCAAATTTGTGCTGGCAAATGCAGTCCATCAGAGGAGAGGGGAGGGCTTGGCCCTCTCCCTGTGATTCTGTGTGTGCATAAATTAAAGTGGCTCTATTTTACCCCCTCCCCTTTCATTGGGCTGCCTAATAGTTTGTTCTTCATGAAGATTACTTTAGAAGATGTTTTCATAAGTTTCTTAGAAGCAGGATTTTCAAAGTGTGAAAACCACTGTCCTCCATCCGTTCTCCCAACATTTGGGACACCCTTCCCCTCAATGCAGCCCCTCCTGCACCCCACCAATCCAACAACCTGCGTTCTAGACATCCACTCCTGCGTGCCGGCTTTGCACCAGGCACTGCGGCTCAGATCCATGCCTGGGCCAATGACATTCCCTCCATCTGCAATGACCACTCTCTACAAACACCGAGTTATGTGGCAAGAGTGTGCTCAAATCTAACTTTCACCTCCTCAAGGTGATAGCTGACTCTACCAGCCAGTGAAAGAAGCCCAAAAAAGCATGTTATAAATACTTATACTGCACTGTAATTATTGTTCAGAGCTCTGCCCTCCCCACGAGACAGCTTCTTAAGTCATGTGATCAACCCACTGGGCTCCAGAGCCTAATTCTAGAAACAAGTATTTTTACAGGCACTTTATCACAGGACACTTCTGTCAGAGATGTGGTGACAAACCCAGAGGAAGTGGCGAGGTCACTTACTGGTGCAGCTCACCCGCCCTGCTCACTGCTCTTTCCAATAAAGTCTCCATTGCTGAGACATGAGGGTTCTGTTCATGCTTACACGTCTTTGAAACAATAACTACCCAGATCACTATTCAAGTTCTACTGTGAAAATACGAGTGAGCTTCACAGAATTAAATGCTCATGAAGACTGACCACTGGCACAGAGACGTAAGCCTTTGGACTGCTAACTGCAAAGTGAGGGGTTCTGACCCACTGGCCACTCTGGCGGAGAACGGTGAGACTTCTGCTCGGAAGCCCCAAGGAGCAGTTCCACTCTGTCCTCCGGGCCGCTACGGGTCAAACCTTCTGGGTGGCAGTACGGGTGGGGTCCTAATGTCAAAACAATCCTAGCAAAGAATCAGATGCCTAGCAGATGGTGAGGGCTCTACCTGGCGGCATCTGGGGCACTGGAAGGGCAGGCCGTTACCTGGGAGGGCTGCGGTCTGGGAGGCACTGCAGGTGGGTGGGCGACAACTGCAGCCTGCTGTTGTCCTGCAGGAACAAAACCATCAATATGCTTACTTAATTTATAGACAGGGACTACTTCATCTCTTTGATCATAAAAGCATCAGGCTAAGTGACTGTCCCCACCCTGTAAAGATCTGTAAGAAGGTTTGGTAAGTACTCGGAAGGCACGTATTATCTTGGAAAATTGTGTATATTCAATCTAAGGGGCAATTTCCTGGACTTTCCTCAGACTTCATTTCTCTGGTTTCTTCTACTGCATGTGGCACCCTTTATCCGCTACTCCCGGCTTTCTTTCCATGGTCTGACTACTCTTCAGCCACCACACATGGGGGCTTCCAAACTTTCCCTTTGCTCTAACCATACAACGTGAAGGACCATCCAGCAACCTGTGACTTCCACTCAAAATGAGTCAAACAAAACATCACCACCCTCTGCCCTAACGTTTCAATTGGATCCACAATGCTGCCACTAGTTCTACAGAAACCGAAGCCAGAGACGTCAGTGGGCCCTCCCCTCTCCTCGCAGCCATGTCAAAGACCCGCATGAGCATCAGGCCCGCCCCAGGATGTGCACATCATTTGGCTTGTAAGCTTTCTAGGGCATCTTGTAGGTTGCCATTTGAGCCATTACGAAAAATAAAACTCTCATTTAATATTTTTTCATCCAGAATTTTTCTTCAGGTAAATATATAAAAAGAAAACATATTAAGAGGAGAAAACTGTCTGTTGCATGACCCTTCCAATGAAATGACAGTGCACATTATGGTTGTCTGGGCCCTACCTGTGGTGACGGCAAAGGTCCGGTTCATATCTAACGATGAGGATCTAGAATGCGAGGGCTGTGGCCGTGGCGGGGGAGGTGGCGGTGCAGTGTTATCAGGCGACGGTCCAGAATGAGACCTGAAAAAGGGACTCCCTTACCACTGAGCACGCGACTGATCACGGGGCCTTTTTCAAGCACTCGGAGAAACAGCAAAGATCTTATAAGCAGGGATAGTTTCCCAAGTATACAAGGATTCCAACGATTAAAGATAGCATTCTGTATGATGTGCTCTTAGGTGGCTATTTAGGGTGCAAACATTATTTTTTTTGGACAAAACTTTATGAGTGGCTTCAAAAAGTCCACAGAAAAATTCCGTTGTCTTAGTTTCACAAAAAACTTGAAGCACTCCACAAAAATGTTACACAATAATGCCAAGGAAATTGAACTTATCAATAAGACTTCATGACAGATTACAAATCTAGGCTAAAGCTTTTTCCCACTCTCATTCCATTCAAGGTAATATTAATTGAGTGAGGCATCAAAGGCAGAGGTATGTTAAAAACAGAGGCACTGTTATGGATGAGTAGCTTTTAGCATGACGTTTGGAGCTATTTTAAGCTGAGATAGAACTGGCTCAATAACTTGAAGCCCGCATTCCTTTTGTCACCAGAAGGCAGCTCACTCTACAAGATGACTGTACCCATGTTATCCTAGACTCACAGGCTATGAGGCCTGTTTCTGGTCTGGATAGAGGCCATGGACCTTCCCCTCCAGTGACCTGGTGAGCTGACCTCTGCATCCAGTGCGAAAAACCATCAGAATATCAAATCCAAGATGGCTGAAAGTGGAAGAAAAGCTCTTGGAAGCACCTATTAATAGTCTTTGTCTAGAGCCTCCAAGCATGTGGCAGAGGGGGAGACAGACCCTGGTCTTCTGCGCCACCTTCTGCCCCACCTATCACCTATTTTAATCTGTGCTTGAGAAGCTGTATGTGAAAGCATCCTTTGGGCTGGACGCGTGGTCACACAGAATTCCTTCCGGCACTTATGGGAATGTGTGCATTGATTTACTACTTCCAACACGCAAGCTGATTAGCTGCAAGAAGTACTATGACAAACATATACTGCCAAGAAATCACCAGCTCTTTTTAAACTTCCCACAAAACAACCATGAGCAACACAAAGGTTTTTGTTTCTGGTCTTACTGTTTTTTAAAATATTTTTTTTGGTTTTCTATTAGTGATGAAAAGAATCAGAATCACAAACTTTCTAAGAAATCAATAAAACAGCCTTTAAAAAGTGGAGGGGGGGGAATGATCTTTGTTCTAACTAAGTTTAAACATAAAAATGTAACTAGATCCTTTACCATGCTTTTATTGACACAAATATATACTGACCTTTGACGAGTTACATTGTTTCCAATCTGCTCTGGGTCAGACGTAAAAGAGTCTGAACTACTGTAACCATCTGCTGAGAAAGGGAATTGATCCTACTTAGTAATCATCATTTCTTCAGTTTGTACACTGTAACAGACAAATACCAACTGATATTCTGCTTTAAAACAGAAAAATCGAAAAGTTGTTTGAAAAGTCTCTTTGTCTAATACAGGCATGTACATATGTAAATATATTTATATATGATTATGGGAAAATAGATCTATGTGCATATAGTTATACGGTTAGTATTAAGGTAACAGATGGACATTAGACATCTACTCAAGTATTCCCTCAATGCAAGAACACTTTGTTCTATTGACCTGGCATTCTGTGATGCTCACCTTCCTGACATGATCGCTGAAGACAAAAGCGGGTGCATAAGCAAATGTGGTGAAGAAAGGTGATGGTGCACAACTATCAAAAGATATAGTGTCTGGGGTCTTAAAGGCTTGAAGATAAACAAGCAGCCATCTAGCTGAGAAGCAACAAAGCCCACGTGGAAGAAGCACACCAGCCTGTGTGATCATGAAGTGTCAATGGGATCAGGTATCAGGCATCAAAGAACAAAAAATCATATCATTGTGAATGAGGGGGAGTGAGGAGTGGGGACCCAAAGCTCATCTGCAGGCAACTGGACATCCCCTTACAGAAGGGTCGCGGGGAGAAAATAAGCCAGTCAGGGTGCAGTATAGCAATGATAAAACACACAATTTCCCTCTAGTTCTTTAATGCTCCCCCCCCCCCCCACCCACCCACTACCATGATCCCAATTAGACCTTACATATCCGGACAACAGAAAAGTGGGTGAAGGGAGACGGCGGACAGTGTGAGACATGACAAAATGATAATAATTTAGAAATAATCATGGGTTTCTGAGAGAGGGGGACGGGAGGGAGGGGAAAAATGAGGAGCTGATACCACGGGTTCAGGTAGAAGGAGAATGTTTTGGGAATGATGAGGGCAGCAGATGTACAAATGTTTTTGACATAATGATGTATGTATGGATTATGATAAGAGTTGTACGAGCCCCCAATAAAATGATTTTAAAAAGAAAACAAAGTCTCTTTGCTTCCAGTGTTAATTAGGGGGGAAAAGTTAAGTACTAATCAAATAAATCACTGCATAGTCAGCAAAACACACTAGACAGCAAACACAATGCAGTCAGAATACTTTGTAGTCGGAAAAATTTATATTGAGCGACATAGGAAGTTTGACACAAGATCGGAAAAATGGTTCGCTGTTAAAATCTCAGTCGAGAGAAACAGACCTGTTACATATGCTCAAAGAAGAGGAAAGAAGCTGATACACAGTGTCGGTCATGGGTATGTGCATTTGTGTGTACTGCATTTACACAAGAAATGTGAATTATTTTCTATCATACATAATCCAGTATAAGCCGACCCAAATATCAGCTGAGGCACCTAATTGTACCACAAAAACTGTATTAAAAACATGCTGACAAACTCGGCTTATACACAAGTTTATATGGTAATTGTCATTATTGCATTTCTACAGTTAAATGTAAAATAAGGATCGAAAGTCATCTCAAAAGAAGCAGAAAATTTAAAATAAAAGACACCGAATTGAAGTTATAAATGTGGACAATGAAAGGATGGGCATGGTGCGCCCTGTGTAAGCCAGGAATCCTCACCCTGAGGGAATCACACAATTTGTGAGTGCAGCCGAGTCCAGATTTTTTTTTTTGCTGAGGAAACATCCTTCTCATTTCCTCAAAGACTTAGGTAGGCGCAGAGCCCCCTGCAAAATGAGTACAGGTTTCGGCAGAATAAAGACATTTATGATAGACACGTTAGGTGGCACACCGAAGGACTACAACTGTAGATCTTGAAGGGTTTTATAAGTGGGAGGGACTTCTCATCGGGCTTATTTCACTTCAAGACTTACTTCTTTCCTTTGCCTTGACCATTGTCGATACAAGACTGATGCTAAAACCAAGTTCCCTTAACATGTCCCAAATGGAACTCCTTCTCACACAAACCTGCTCCTCTGACAGTGACTGAGGCCCTGGCTCCTCTGTCTTCCCTGCATCCTGGGTCACACAGGGCAGTAAAGCATGTGCTCTTTTTCTACGGACGAAGGTCAGAACCCGACTAGTTCTCAGAACTCCCATTATGATCACATTAAACCATTTGCTCTCCTGCCTGGATTATTACAACAGTCTCCCAGTGGTCTCGCTCTGATTCAGTGCTTGCCTCCTCCCAGCCTATTATTAATCCACAGCCAGAATGATCCTGCTAAAATGGAAGATCAGACCACATCACTCCTCCATTCAAACCTCAGTAAGGTGGCATCCTGCCACTGCCCCCATTCACGCCCTGCTGCCCCTGCCCACACACACAGGCCCACTACTTCTGTTCTTGGGCTTGGCGTCCCATTCCCAGAAGGGCTTCCCCTGAATGTTCCTGTGCTCTTGGTCCCTCCTTCAGACAGGCGCACAGCAGCCCCTCACCACAGCACAGCTTACTCTTCATCTTTGGTAAGGCTGTCTTTAGTCTTTCAAAGCGGGACTTCTTTGCTCTTTATTTTTGTTCACAGTATAAATTACTTTCTGAACATGTGAATTACTTTTATTCCTGCTCTTTTCCTACTTTATCCCTGAGAACAGAAACTTAATGAGAGTAAATTTCTCTCTGCTTTCAGATCTGGACACATGGCATCTAAACACACATTGGAAGTACATGTTGTGTAATTTTCCTGTGAGAGAGAAACAAGAGGCCAGTGGGAAAGACCAATGAGTCACAGTTGGCGACAATGAACGAGAGGGCAACAAAAGGAGGGTGGCCATGAAGCAGGTTATGGAGGGGGTCAGTGGGGAAACGGTGGCTAAAGGGGTGGACGCTTGTCTGTTGTATTCCCTAAAACTAGTATTCAATAGCTATACGCTTGAATTAGGCAGCAGGGTCTAAAACCAGACTGAGACTTTAGAAGAAGCAATGATAATATGCACGTACCTACAGTATTTCCAGAAGCAAATTTCACTGATGAATTCATCTTATTTTCTTCTGAAAGGTCAGGTGGTTTCACAAGCAATGGACTGGTGGGGTTATTATGATCTAGAAGAGATTTAACATATGAAAAGTACAAGATACAGATGTGAACCAACAGGGACATGAACCTCAGAGCACACGTTCAGGCGTCATGTAGACAGCCCCAAGAAGCAGCAAGTGGATGGATATAGGGGATAGGAAACAAAATAAAAATTTTAATTAAAAAGCTATATGCCTATTTTTTTGAAATTTGATTCCTGCTGTTAACACAAATATGATAATAAAAAGACCAACTTTCAAGTTTACACTTTGTTAACTACAGAGATGTAGTATAAAATGGGCAATCTGTCATGCTGACGGTATACAGAAAGTGACTCTACTTTTGAAAGACCTTTACTAGTCACTGTGAAACAAGGGAAAACTTCTACAAGTTCAAAGCAAAACACAGTTTCACAGGCAAGACTGAGCATCCACATCTTCGCGGGGAGTCTGAACATACTTTAACTGCAAATTTATAATGGTGACATATAAATATGGACAATTGTGTGAACGACTAAGCTAAAAACAAGCAATTAAGAAAGAGACGTGAACTCTGGCAGAATAATTTCTTGGGGTGTCTAGTTACAGCTCCCTTACCGCTGACTGCTCTTTTCAGTTCCATTTCCTGCATGTGGATTCGGCTTGGAGTCATTCGGATGGGGACCGGGTGAACAATTGCCGTGTCCTAAAGACAAGCAGGAGGAAATGCAGAGTCGGTGTTACAATTACCACACCAACAGCACCGAACAATAACAACTAGTAATACTTTCAGAAGTGGTGGATAGATTTTGTTATTCACACTTAAGGCGGGCAATACTTTTTTAGAGAAAAAATTCCTAGAATATCTATATTGGTATGTATATATCTAACAATCTTATTTTCTAACAATACTTAAAAATGTTGAGTAGCTAAAATTCACATGAACAAAACAGTCATATAAAAATACAGTTCATGACAATATTCAAAAGCAAAGCGTGAATTGGTCTGATGAAATTCTGTACACATGAACCTTTGAGATTAGAGTGAACCATTGGGGATCCAATGGTTAAGTAACTCAACTCACTACCATTGAGTCAATGCTGAGTCATGTCCACCCCCCACCCCCCCACCCCCCGCCTGTGGGTTTCCGAAACTGTAAATATATACAGGAGTAGAAAGCCCATCTTTGTCTAGCGGAGCTGCTGGTGGTTTCAAACTGCCAACCATTCAGATCACAGGTCAACATGTAAACACTGCTCCACCAGGGCTCATTTTCATCACCAACCTGCTCTTTCTTGTTCATGAAAATTTGACATTTTTTCAAATATAACACAAAATGAATGAGATGCCTGTTATATTGCACTCTTCAGCAAGATGCATGCATTTTATAGATTAGTTCCACTATTTAAACCGATGATCTCAAAATTTACATAAAACTTCTACAGAGGAATCCACTTTTAAAAAGAAACTGGCTTCCCAGTTACCACTTCATCATTCTTCTAATAAGCAAAGACTGCAGCTTTACAAACGCCTAGTGTCAGGTGTAGTGATGGGTGGGTAGATCAAACTTCCACTGGCTTCAGGTGGGCACATGTGGGAATAACAGCATGGAGTAGCACTAAGCACCTGCTAGAGAAGTCTCAGTTTTAGCGCCCTCTTATTTGATTGGTCTTCGTGGTTTACTCTTGTAATCCCTCAATCTAAATGGCTCTTGACAGAAACATAGTCACAGTAATTTTCTACTCACACACCCACTGAGATTCTGGATAAACTTAATGCATTTATCTAATGAAATTGAACTTATGTTTAACGCACAACTCTAAAATCATTTACACAGATAAGGGGGCTTCAAAAAATTCAGGGAAAACTGGGAAAATAACGGAACTTTCCTGCAAACCTTTTCCCCCAATACCTATGTATTCTGTTAAATCTGTGTATCTTCTCTCATAACATGTTGAAGCCCCCCAAACTCACACAAGCAGTTTTACTCTGTCCTAAAGTCTCTATAAGCCAGGTCGACTCTGTGGTCGTGAGTTTGTTTTTATATATGGCTGGTTATCTCACAATATTGAGCTATCACAGGAAGAGGTTTACAACACACTTAAGATACTGTTTAGATTGTATTTATGGCTATAAAACATATGGCTTTAGAAACTAACTCTATTATTGTGCTAATTTACAACTTTAATAACAGAAACAATTGTTACGAGAGTCAGCATTTAGAATCAGTTACGAGAATCAGAACAAGGCAAGACTAAGGGAGAGAGAAGTGATAAAAATCGGAAGAAAATAAATTCTTATTCCAACACAAAATAAACTAGGAGAGGGAATCATGAAACACTTATCAGCAGATGCTTTAAGTTTAAATAATCATCCAATATGTATTCTACAGATACAGCATATACATTATATGTAGTCATATTGAAAAAAGTCTCACAGTTGAAATTAATTGGCCTTTCCATATATTTCCAGTACAAAGAAATGGAAGCCATAATAATGACTTCAAGAAAAGAAAATCATGAATGTCTCAGAATTTCTTTCTTAAGAGAATAGGCAGGATACCAAGAGGTCATTTCCCCAGTGCACACGGGCCGTGGTAGCTTTCGTCCAGTGGCCCTGCAGCTGACATAACTTTACCTAAATGACATGAGACAAGGAGCCCTGCTAGGGCAAATGTGAAGCGCTCAGCTGCCAATTTAGGGCCCGGTGGTTGGGAGCCCTTAGCCACTGTGCTGGCGAAAGACCGGGTGTCAGTCTCCATGAAGACCACAGCCAGGAAACCTCCGGACAGGTCTCTGGTGTCACACGGGCACCAGCTCAACAGAGCCCAGCAGCAGCTTCAGAAACCCGTTTGTGATGAAGAGAGCAGCCGTTCAACTTCTAAGTAAAGAATTCAGGGCTGCTGGATGCTCCAGACTAACTCCCTCAAACCCACACCAATCAAAAAGAACATAAAACAAAAGGGGGAAAACCCTCCCCTCTGACTGGTATGCTCTGCCCACTTTCTGCTGACTAGTCAAATCACCCCAAGCCTCGAGAAGCCCTCTCAGAGTTGTTCAGGGCGCCTCTGTCTTTCTTGCCTATTTGGGCATTTGATTGATACAATTTGGCAGTTTGTTGAATCCTATCCTCTCTGTTCACAGATCGAATGCTCTCTACATGCCTTAAATCCTGTTGTTTTTATCCAGTTGAACCTACTCCCAGGCCACTAACTTGGTTCAGGTGCTACATCCCATGCTCAGCTGGCCACCCCACAATACTGTGGTACTCCTGGCTGGGTCCGACAGCCTTTAAGGTTAAGCTCAGAACTTCAGCCTAGCCTACAGATCTCTCCCCACCCTGTTTGGTTTCAGCACTAGTTTTTAACCCCACCTCCCATAGCCCATCACCCCCGTGTCCCCTGTCTTAATGCACGGGACTGATTCTACTCAGGATACACCCTCTGCTAAGAATGATAAAGTTGGAATTCTTAAATATGGTATAATCTGATATCTATACATTTCTTTCTTGTATGGTAGCAAATCAATATAAATTTAAGGCTATCAACCAACTTCTGCCAACTCAGTTTATGTTATAATCATCAACGTAAAATAATCAGACAACGGACTACATGAGGCTGTAATCTTCGTTTTGATATCATATATCCGAAGAGACAACCACAAGCTCCTAGAGAGAAAGGGAAAGCTCCAAACCGGGTGAACGACTTCTACGGTCTGCAGGCCAGGCGCAAACAACGGCACAGACTACGGGTCAGCCTGGAAGTACCCTGGCGTTCTGACTCAAGTACACTCCCCAGCAGAAGCAAATTCTATCAGAGGCTATTCACTGATCAAACAGGTCAACAAGAACAATCAAGTGTCTAGAAATAAGATAACCAGAAATCTGGTTTCATCAGCATGCTGGGAGTCTAATAATGAAGCATTCTGGGTCACATCTGGGGTCACAGGGGCCTCGAAGGGTCAGAGCAGCCTGGACCTGTGCACAGACGGTTCCTGTACTGAGCCAGTGGCTAACTGTCAGAATTTAGAGCTTCCCTTGACGTTCCATGAAATGCTTCTGGCACTGTCAAATTCCTATTGGAACTGTTCTGAAATTTCTTCATATTGGTTCCTATTGGAACTATACTGACATTTCTTCCCAGGTGATCCCCTTTGAGATGTAAAAGGGCTGTATATAATCCTTATCTATATCTGAGCTCCAAGCTCTGCTCTGTCAACAAGAATACCTCAAAGCCGCACTATTACATCAAAGTTAAGAAACTCACAACACCCCAAAGCAAGCAGGGCAGCTGCCTGACTGAAAATTTAAAGGGAGATTGCTGGGCTGGTGGAAACTCTTTAGATTTAAGTTTGCCACCATTTAAGACAGATTTTTAGGCATCAGGTTACAAAGCATTTTAAGTATGCCCACTTTAACACATCCAGAGTTCTACATTTGAATTAAAAGTGCCAATTAGCCATGTTTTATTTTCCTGCTGAGACACAGCATTTTACATGTTAGACCTGATGTACACATATCTGGATTTTACTTCCAAGTAACACGAACATCACCTCCAGGAAGTCAAATACTTCCCTGTAGCCATGAGATCTAGGTTTTATATATCATGTACTTGGAATAAGGAGTGATTTTTTTCTCTATTTCCTATGGTGGTTAGAGAATAAAACAAAATTTCTTTATTGCTACATCAAATTTCCCTTCCCAATAAAGCAATTTCATTAAGCCCTTAAATGAAATTAACTTACAGTCTAACTAGACAATAAGAAGAATATGCCAAATATGGAGAGATGAAATTTAAAGGAAGGGTTAACTGTATAGACTCCATCCGTCCCTTCTCAAGAGACCTTCGTGGGTGCTAGTAAGCAGCAAAGCACCAGGTGAAGCTTTGCCAGCTTTCATTCCCCCAGCTCTCCAATCAAGAAGGAACAGGGTCCTCCAAGTCAAACAGCAAGAAAGGAGAGCAACAGGTTCACGCATGATGACACAGCCCTTTGCCCCAGATTGATTAGGAACCCTTAAACAACTTCCATCCATTTATTTGAATTAAGGAAGTGTAACTTACTCTCCATTTCATTTAACTAGATGTGCTAGTTAAACCTACGATCCTCTTTCAAAGCCACTTCTCCGGAACCCCTGTTTAACACATAGTACGACCACTTCACACGGAGTCAAGGCAATCTAGAACAGGCGGCCTAGTGCCTATTGTCATTACGTTCCCACTCAACTCCTTCCCACTCTTCTTCCCTCACTGCTCACTTGCTCTTTTCTTTTTGGAAGGTGCTTATGAGCATTTGGAAGATGGTTATTAGCATGTCCTTTTTAGGGGAAAAAAGGCAGAAGTTTTATAGTGTGAGGGATTGAGGGTGGCATATAAAAATTAACTGAGATCGTTTTCATCTTAAAATACAGATGTGAACTTTGTAGCATTTTTCAAAGCAACACAGTAAACCACAGGAAGACAAGACGGAGAGGTTCTTGGCACACTGGGCATCTGTGACCGACAGCCCTGTATTGGTTCTGCTGAATCCGATTCTCTAACAGAACTCAACACACCAGTAAAACTGAAGCCACATTACTTATCAGAATTTTTTTAAAAGGCACTGCAAAATATTTACATACACAGTACATACTACATGATGTATATGCATACGAATAAAAATAGTATTTATAGAAGTAGCACTACACTGAAATAAGAAGCACTACATGTTTAACACAACACACATAGTTAGCAAATGAAAACAGATTAACCAAGGAAGTCGGCATGCTGTAAACGTCACAACACATGTACCAGGTATTAAGAGCATAGTTTTCTCTCACCAAAAAAACTGGAAAATATAAAGAATGGCAAAAATTGTCCTTTCCACCATTAAGCACACACACAAAATTGAAAAGCCTGCCACCATTTCCCCCTAAGCACGGAACCATGCACAATGGCTAAAAACGACAATGAATGGAAATTTGGGTTAATAAAATTAATTTCAAACAAGCAAGCTAAGTGATTGACTTACAGGATCAGCTGGTGCAATGTTAGAATCAAATTGGGTCAGAGTTTGTGAGCTTGAAGAGCGTTCGCTAAATGTCTCCCACTGCTGAACAGACAGAGGAGAGACGAGTCAGCATGATGAGAAAGATGGAGTCAAAGGTCACTGGAGAAGATTCAGCAAAGTAATTCAGAGGTTGCACTGCAAGCTGTGTGCCGCAGGCTGGGCAAACTTTGACACTTCCGTTTCTCCATCAACGAGTTATACTTAACTCTATGGGGTCTTTGTGTATGTAATTAAGGTGAGCAGCTCGACATTCAAATGGAGAGTAAACCATTTATGGTGGTCTCTATGGGAGCGGTTCAGGGAGCTACAGAGTCAAAACTCAAACACAATTCCGGTGCAGAGTCTCAGCAGCGTCCATGCCCATGTGGGGACATTATGCCAGGGCTTCATCTCAAGAGAACAATCTTCACCTCCTTCTTTTTAAGTCCACATCTGTGCACTGATTTGGCAGAAGTACCCAATCTCGAGCAGCGAAGTTTAAGTTAAAAAAAAAAAGCAAGTCACTGTGACTTGCCAGTGCGACCCCTGCAAGACCAGTCTATTGTGGGCATGCACATAGTGTATATGTATGTTCAGACACTTAATACAATAGAATTGAGATTAAAATGCAAAGGATTCTGGAATGAACACACGCCTGAGCTTTCGTCCATCTGTAGCATGTCCACTCCTGCAGTCAGCACTACAGACAGGGCCAGGCCGGACCACGAGACAGAACGCCCAGCAGGCACCCCTCCCCATGCTTGGAAAACCAGAGGGCGGCCACAGAGAGCAAACCAAGCATCCAGGTGTACTATCTATTGGTGATGCATTGTGGCATGAGATGCTACTTGTCTAAATGAGGCACACAAACACATATTATACCTCTTAAAATAGTTGGAGTGATAAGTCAGTACTAATCACAGTAAATTCCATATGTCTTGAAAATCTTAGTAATAAAACTGTGGGATTTCTACTTGAGCCCTGCGTTCAGATTAAAAATGGATTCTTAAGAGTTATCTGTTGTCTTCGGGCGAGGGGGAAAGCTACACATATACAATATATACATACAAATGTTTACACACAGACAAACCTACTCCATAACCAAAATCCTCTTCATAATTCATATGGAAAGGCATACATTTTTATGCTTCAAAGTTCAACTTACTATTTTTTAAAAAAAACTATTCAATTTGAGGACCCATGTAGAATTTATTAATTAAATGAGCACCTTGTTGAAATGTATCTACAAATATGACGAATACATAACAATTCCCCCTATAGATCAGCTTTCTTATCACAAGCATTAAACTGGGGGGACAGACTTAAGGAGCTGCTGAGGTTGGTATCTGGCAGGGACTTCCGTTCCTGGTCTTTCACGATCATGATCACACTTCACTGTATCCAGGATGAACCTGGGTTTCAGGGCTGAGATGTCTCGAAAGGGCTCCTTTTATTCATGAGCAGGCATCAACGGATTGAAAATGTTTATTCTGTTCATCTGATTTGCTTTTCAAAACAACAGTGATACATAAACGTGGGGAAAAACAAGTGATTTCAACAACACAGGCCCGACACTCTCGAAAGCCTCACTCCAAGTCAATTCTACCAAGGCTTAATCTCTCCCTCTAGAAAACTACTTGCACCAGTGGTTTAAACTGAATGGTAATATATTTTGATGTTCGAGAAACAGGTTCAGCACAGATGATTGTCTGGGCTTTGATCCTGTCACCAAGAAGCAACAGGCATTCTGAAACTACGTCCTTTGCCTGTGTGCACCCGGTCTGAAAGTAGTAAGGGTGCGCTCTCCTTTGATGAGAAGATAGGGAAAGCAGACACTTAAGATAATTTTTTTCTCAAAGGTCCGACTTTTCATGCTTTATCTATAACAGAGTGCTAAGATAATCTAGGGCCAGTGCATCGGTCTCAAAATTCTTTTCCGAAAACTGTGCTTAGTCATGTGACGTGCCCTTAACTGCCTTTTATTTACTAATGGTTTTTTTTCACTCTGTTGTCTATTGAATAAAATAAAATTATAGCTAGGAATGTAAAAAATACTTTAAATGGAAAGTCTGATTAGTGACTTCTCAAATCACTTCCAATGCTGATGTTCCAAGTATCACACACCTTGCTTCTACAGGAATGAGAAGGCACGAGAGTAAATGCAACAGCTGAGTGGGAACTAAATGACTTGTGTTCAAATCTTAGCTCCTCTCACTGGCCAGGAGATTTTGGTGGTGGTGGTGGGGAATCAAACATCAGAGAAGAAAAAGCTTTTTGAAAACCTCAAAGCAAAATTACAATTGCTTATCATAGTATTCTTTGATATGCTCTCTAACTGGGCATGCTGTGAGAACTACCTGCTGACATCACCCTCTTATCTTACCAAATGGAACTTTTAATGAGAGGAAAGGAAGTTGTGCTAACCTCACTGCTCTGATTCAGCTCTGGCCAGGTCTGGTTCAGCGATGGCATTGATGGAGACTTGCTTGGCGGCGCTTCTGCCGGAGAGCCTGAATAACCTACCTCACCTGGCTGATCTCCAGCATCTGCAATGGAAATAGAGAGATAGCTCTATAAATATTTTATTGTAGTCTAGGAATATTCACTTACCCCAAAGCTAACAGAATTTCCACCAGTAGTCATTTATGATCTCGTTTCCTTTCTTCACATTCCCATATACGAACCTTAACAGGTAATACTTATTCCTGATACTTACTGTCTACCTGAAACTACAGCTTTTCTTGAAAGCAGAATATAGTTAGCAATAAAGAGATAACAGTGTTATACACAACAATAGTGAAATTGGGCACAACCTTGGAATCATTTTTTGGTAACAGAAATAGATTTGTATTAATGTTTCTGGAAGAGTAACCCAGGGAATACTAATGAAATAAGGCAGCTTAGAAAAATTAGGCTCTCTGTTCAAATAAGTTTTGGGATATAGTAATTTCCAATTGAAACATCACCATGCAGATGTCCACATCAGAGACTTGTCATCAGTGATGTCATCATACACTTGGTTCAAACCTATGTTTCCCAAACTTATTTGACCCCTGAACCCCTTTGATCAACTAAAATCCCTTAAGTGTTTCCTGGAACACATTTGTAGTAATACACACATCTTTCTTGTTCTCAAAAAGCAATATATATTGGCATGGCAGGCAGCAAAAAGGAAGGAACAGTCCTTGGTTGTGGGCAAGAAAGCCAAGTCAATGGACCCACAGGAGGCCACACTTTTGTTACCAACCTTATGCTACTTCTAAATGGTTTTCAAGTGATTCTTGAGATACTATATTTCTAATTAAGACTTATTTTAAAATATTTCTTAATTTACAATTTAAAAACAGAAGGCACTTCAATGCTAACTCAATTCTCATTCCCATTTTCCCCAAGTCTTGAATATAACGCCAGTCTTGAAAAGAACATTCTTATGGAGTATAGGATCTGTTTAGAATACACAGAAAACAATACACTTCCAACATCTTGTTACTATCTCACGGTTTGACCATGGGCAAGATGAATAAAGCAGCACTGGGGTTTCTCTCTCAGAGAGACCTTGCCAGTAAGTGCTAGCACTTTATTTCCAGTTCCTAAAGAGCCAGTCATAATATACTTCCAAAGTGCAGAGGCTTAAACCTTTCAATCTCTGTTCGAGTAAATCCATCAAGCTGAAACCAAACTCGCTGCCACTGAGTTGATTCCGACTCCTAGCAACCTGATAGGACACAGGAGAACCGCCCCTGTGGGTTCTGGGATAGTAACTCTTTACAGGAGGAGACGCCTCTTTTTTTCTCCCACGGAGCAACGGAGCAACTAAGGGTTTCAACCCGCTGACCTTGCAGTTAGTAGGCCAATGTGCGCACGTGTAGGCAATTCAAATATTTATGTAATAATGAGCTTTTGTGTAACTTCATCATTTAAATTCATTCTCTTTAACTGTCATCTTCCTAGAAAACTTAAACCCTAACTAATGAGTGTTTTGATAAAGTTCTCGAAGCTTCTTACTCTGTTACAGCAGAGTTACATTTTGTTGCTCTTTTACCCACCCCGAACACTCTTCTCCAACATACCACTCTGGCAATTTCTAATTGGCAACCCAGCATTACACTTTGATTTATGTTTCTATGATCAAGAACTACTTTTCTTTTTTCCTTAGTCCTGCCCCTTCTCAGTAAAACTGCCAGAGGAGCAGAGGGAATCAGACAACCAACGGGAAGGCTGCAGCGGACAGTTCTGCGGCTGCAGCGGGCAGTTCTGCTGCTGCTGGGTGCAGCCGAGGCAGTCCAGCTCGTAGCCATCCCAACAGCAGCAGCGCCACACTGCTCAGCCCCGCGCCAACCTCACGACTGTTGCTGTGCTTACGCTCCTTGTTGTAGCCACTCTGTGAATCCACCTGGTGGAGGCTCTTCCTCTTTTTGCTGACCCCATACATCACCAAGCAGGGACCAGCCCCTCCTGATAAGGATGCCCATCCTTGCTTCCTTTGTTAGACAGACGTGACAGCTGTTACACTGCAGAAGCATATGACTTAACACGCAGGCCTTGAAGAAGCACGAATGGAAACACCATCTGTGATAGCACAGCAGGAGCCAGGGTCTCTTGGGGCAGGGTTGGGGTGCTCAGGGGAAACAAAGATTTAAAAGTACCAATTCCCACAATAAGAAAGTGATTAAGAAGTGAACAAAATTTTGGAAGATATGGTAAATGAGGAAGTGTGTCGTCTCCTTCAAAGCAGGTGAGTGTTGAAGAAAACTTAATATATTAAAGAAGAATTCACTACAGGACAATACATTTTCCAAATAATCTATTTAAATGCAGACTAAATTACTCACTTTAAAATGCTACCCTAAGGCAACCTGAAGCTCTGACTTGACTTTTAAGACACCAACCAGTTCTCATGAAATCTCTTCTGGCAAACATGGGGCCAGCAGCTCTCCACCCCCCACCCCCCACTGGACAACTGTGATTCTCAGCTCTTCTCGGACCCATGGGAAAAGACACAGATCTCAGCCTCCAGAGGCTCAGAACTAATGTTACTGCCTCCAAATAAATACACTTTATAATGATTCCAATATGGATATTTCCCTAGAGCACCAATTCTTAAACTGCAGATCACAGAGGACTCATTTAGGAGGTCTGAAAGGTCAAGATTATTTTTTACCATATAATAATCCTTCTTCCCTGGGAAGACAGTTGCACTGATGGTAGAAAAAAAATCAAGCCAATTAGAAGAGAAATCAAGACAGTGGCACAATAATTTATAGTACTCAGTGCACCTTTCAACACCACACATAAAGAAATAAAATAATTATAAAAACAAACACCCTAACACCACACATCATAAATGCACCCCCCCCTCACAATGTCAGTTTCATTGAAGCATGCCAAGATGAAACAGTACAACCTGTTAAAAGCTCAACCTTAAAAACCCATCTTTTCAATATTCTGTATGACAAAATGGGGTGTACAAAGCACTTCTGCACAAGAAAGTACAATGTTTTTCCTCAAGGAAAGTAATTGTGTGGTTGAGCTGTAAGCTGAACAGGCCTTTTTTTTTCCTTCACAGAACAACAAAAAACAAAAACAAAACCAACAACAACCGAAATGCTATCATTTATTCAGACTTGGGTACTAGGAAAGCCCTGCCACACAAATGAGGAAAGTACACTTTCCCCTTAAGCAAACAACTGCTAGTGTTTGTTAATAATGACAAAGTTCAGCTATCAAGTGAAAATTAGAATTTAGGGAAATATACACACATGACCACGGGCTTCCCAAATCCTTAGAGACATCTCTGACAAGGTACATTGTCATACCAACAAATTTGCTTTTTTGTTATTTTCTAATGAAATATATCAGTAGTTCAAAGTCCTGTATAACTCAATGAAGCGATATTGTCAAAAAACCAATGTATGGTTTCACATCATGCACTGGTCAATGATGCATTCAAAGTACAAGGCTGGCCAGTGGATTTTAACATAATAGTACGAAACAGCCAACTCTCATGTGGAAAATACCCATTAAGAAACTACTTTTCAATTCTGGTGAAACAAAATGGAAACAGCTATACAATAGTCCTCCTTTCACACTGTGCCGCTGCATTTTGTTCCTGTCCTTCAGGGATCGGCAGATTCTTTCCACAAAGGGCCGGCCAGCCAAGAAACCTTTGGGGCTTTACAAGATACATGAAAGCTATTGCTAAAGCCCCAACACACAGTGGCCCTGTAGGACAGAGCAGAACTGCTCATGGCTGTCATCTTGATGGGAGCAAGTAGTTCACCAGCCTTGGTCAGCAGCCGAGCGCTCAGTGACTGCGCCACCAGGGCACCTTTGTGAGAAAGGAGCGGGGTAATTTGTAAGTGAGTGCGTATGGCTGAGTCTCTGGAAATGGAGTGCTGGTTTTTATGTATTTTCATGTGTCTCCAAATATTACTCTTTCCTGATTAAAAAGAAAAAAAATCTTACGAGCTGTACAAAAACTGGCAGTAAACTAGAATTTCATCTGCAAGCAGTTTGCCAATCCCTGACATACTTCAAACAAAATAACTTATCTAACAGAGTGAATGCAAAAGCAGATATGAGAATCTAAATGCTTTCCATCAATCCTGAGTCACAAAAATGTAAAAACAATGCCATTCTTTTCACTAATATTTTATTTAGGAGAAGGCAGCTATCGCCTTAAATATTTATGCTAATTTGAGGGACTTAATTATTGTAATTTTCAAATTAAGTGATAAACATCTCAAAAATGTATCAGTTTTCCTTTCTAATTGGTTAACTCTGGAGAGAAATTCATATGTAAGTGTACTGGGGCCCTCAGTAATTACTTTTTTAGTGTAAAGAGGGTTTGATACCAAAAAATAAAAATAATTGTTCCAGAGAATCCAAAATTTTTTTATGGAATGAGCAGCAATATAATGTAGCCCTGACGCAGACATCACGCAGTGCTTCTTTGCTGCTGCATGAGGAGGAAACAGGGCCGGAAAGAGGACGAAGTACTTACGCTCTGGGACCCAACAGTCCGAGGAGAAATCAACCACACGGCTGTGACATTTGCTACCTGTAAATACTCGTTACCCAGCTCCGTGCCATCCACAAAGGTTGGCTTTACGGAGGCAGGGCTATGGCTTTACTCTCACCTGGCGCAGTGTTCCAGCCCAACCACCTGCTGGGACACTGTGTGAACCCGCCTCCCTCCTGCTGCTCCTGCCCCCTGACATCAGCAGCAGCAGGGCTGAAGCAGAAGAGGATGAGTCTGAATTATTTTTTAAAGTTAACCCCCAAAGGGCTTTCCCTCAAAAGTATTTCTTCCTCTAAAAGTGTCTGGAGACTCCCCAGTATGAGACGCACCACTGAGAAGTTGGCAATGGAAAGTGCACCGAGTCCAAGCCAGCCTGTGAGGATCGCACCAGGGAAGCACTGCCAGAGTTTTCATCCCTCCAACCTCCCAAGAATGTTCTCCAGACAAAGTCCACAGGCTCAGAGCAGCACAATGTGCCAGGCAAACCTGCTGAGCAACCCTTCCTGAAGAGCTTCTGTTTGATGC